CGTAGTCAGACTCACTTCTATTCAGACCCATTATGTCTCAGACTCGTGTTCATTATACTCATACTCAGTCTCACTCACACCCAGACTGCCTCACACATATTCCCCTCCACCCAGAGACGCTCATACTCAGACTTGCGCATTCTCAGACCCAGTCGTATTCAGACTCTCTCATACCTGGACTCACGACACTCACACTCATCCGGATCACCCACATCCGGACTCAATCGCGCTCATATGACTCATGCTCAGATTCACTCAGTGTGCTCTCCTTTGGAAGTCCCATGCCCCCTCGCTCTTCCACTTGTGCTTCCCTCATCTCTCATGAAAGATGCCCAGAGAAGGAGGACGTCACCCTTGCCCAGAGAAGGAGGACGTCACCCTTGCCTCCCTGCCCTCTTCAGCCTCTCCTCTGTCCTCTGTCCAGCCCATCATCCTCTTTTCCTTTCTTCTGTTTCTCCTCACCTCCTCGCACCGTTGCCTTCGTGCGAGTTCTGCTTCTGCCACACAGCCTAAATCTCGGAAGTCCTTGAAGGCCCCGAAACGTCCTCGGAGGCCTCCGGGCACCCGGAGGCCTGAACACGTCCAGAATCACCCCAAAACACCGAGCACGACTCCGCTTCGATGCCAGAGGGCAGACGTGGCTTTGCTCTTTCCTCCCCTGTCTCCTCCGGCTCCCGGCTCTCTCTCCCCTTTCGTTCCTCTCCCTTCGCCTTGCCGATATTTTGGCAAAGGAGGCTTTGTGTGCCAGTGATGGGCTGGAGGGCCCTTGCCGGTGCCGGCGTCGGAACATAGCTTGCGGCCTCTTGCAAGCTGGACGCTTGATCTCCATTGGTTCGAATCCTGTCCAGAATGCGGAAAAAACAAAAAACTAAAAAAGAGGGCAGAGGGCTAAACTTGCCACTCCTGGCTTCCCAGCCCCCACCCGGGAGGTGGACGGCGACTACCTCGACACCCGCAGCCAGGAGGGCGCCAGGGCGTGCAGGGCCTTTCTCGCGGGGATCGCGGAGCTCTCAGTGGTGATGCAGGCTGGGCCGCTCCTGCGCACGGCTTCGCGCGGGATCGCAGGGAATCACGGGGAGGAGGATGGGGAATGGGAGGGATGAGTAGGATCAGGATGCCAGGAGGAGGATCATGATGATGATGATGATGATGATGATGATGATGATGATGATGAGGAGGAGGCCATGAGGACAAGGGGCCATGAGGCTCGGAGGAAGAGGAGAGCTTAGCTTAATTTGGCTTGGCTTGGCTTAGCTTAGCTTAGCTTAGCTTAATTTAGCTTAACCTAGCCTAGCTTAGCTTGACTTAGTTTAGCTTAGCTTAGCATCGCTTAGTTTACCTTAGCTTAGCTTAGCGCAGCGCAGCATAGCGCAGCGCAGCATTCGCACAGCATAGCATAGCATAGTCAAGCATCGCATAGCATAGCATAACATAGCCCAGCATATCATATCATAGCATACTATAGCATAGCATAGCATAGCGCAGCATAACATAGCATAGCATAGCATAACATTGCTTAGCATAGCACAGCGCAGCATATCATAGCATAGCACAGCACAGCATATCATAGCATAGCATAGCGCAACATAGCATAGCATAGCATAGCACATCATAGCATATCATATCATATCATAACATAACATATCATAACACAGCGCAACATAGCATAGCATAGCGCACCATCGCATAACATAGCATATCATAGCATAGCATAGCGCAGCATAGCATAGCATAGCATAGCATAGCGCAGCATAGCATAGCATAGCACAGCCTAGCAGAACCCAGCGCCGATGATGCACCGATCTGGGAGCTGCTGCTGCTGTACAATTTCGTAGGAACGTTCGGTGTAGCAAGTGTTGCACAACCTTGCTCGATGCCAAGTCGTGCGGTGTAGACCGGATACGGAGCATTCTCAAGCACACCCGGTGAGCGAATGCGAAAACATGCGTGTGTGTGTGTCTGTGCGCAGGCGAAGCAACCACACAATCAAGCAGACACAAAGAACAAAAGCAAACCAGAAGCAACAGCAAACGCAACAGCAAAGGCAATGACAAAAGCAAAGGCAAGAGCAAAAACAAAGGCAACGCAAAGCAACAGCAAAACCAATGCGAACATGTAGATGTATATGTAGATGTATCTATATATATGTAGGTTTAGATGTGGATGTAGGTGTAGATGTAGATGTATATGTATATGTTTGTGTATGTGTATATGTAGGTGTAGATGTAGATGTAGAGGTGAGTCTCGTTGTTGATGTTGACGTAGAAGCAGATGCAGGTGTAGATGTACACGTAGCTGTCGGTGTAGATGTAGATGTTACTTTCCTAAATGCTCCCATTTTTGGGGTCGGGTCGCACTGGGATAATGTGAATGCAGGTGGTGGAGGAGGAGGAGGAGGACAAGGACAAAACGAGGAAGAAGAGACGGACGATGAGGCCAGGAGGAGGAGAAGGAGGCGGGAGGGGGAGGAGGACAGGAGGAGGAGGAAGAGGAGGAGGACGAGAAGGAGGAGGAGGAGGAGCAGCAGCAGCAGGAGGAGCAGGAGCAGGAGGAGCAGGAGGAACAGGAGGAGCAGGAGCAGTGGCGGCAGGGGGAAGGAGGCAACATGGAGGGGGAGGGGGAGGGAAGGACGAGGGGGAGCCAGAGCTCCCTTCCACACGGCACCGCATCGCCCCGAGGCCGAGCAGGCGCCCCGGGCGTACCGCTCGTCCTTCACCGCCAACTACGCGTCGCTCTTCCCGTGCAAGGATGCCATGTGCTCTCCCCCAGTCACGGAAGGCGGCGGGAGTGGGTGGCAGGGGGCACGGTTGGGGAGGGTGCGAGGGAGGGTGTGAGGGAGGAGTGCGTGGGGAGGGTGGCGTGAGGGAGGTAACGGCGGGAAGGGAGGAGTGCAGGGGAGGGTGACGTGAGGGAGGGAGGAGTGCAGGGGAGGGTGTAGGGAGGAGTGCATATGAGGATCATGGTGGAGGGAGGGTGTGCAGGGACAGGAGGCAAGGAGGGGATACGGTGTAGGCTGGGAGTGGACGTGGCATGCGGAGGATGAGGAGGAGGAGGAAGAGGAGGAGGAGGAGGAGGAGGAGGAGGAGGAGGAGGAGGAGGAGGAGACTTGAGCGGGGGGGGCAGGGGCACGAAGTTGGTCGAACTTGATTCAACGTTGCAGAGCTCTTCTGTTTGACAGCCGACTGTTCGCACGAGATGAATTCCTATCTTGACGGCGGTTTCGCGCATCAAGCTCACTAGCCCCAGCGAGCCGAGGGTTGGTTGAGTATCAGCACTTTTGCTGAGGCTGCCCGTGTGGATCCCGCACAGGTGTCGACTGCTCCGAACAATTGAAACACTTGAGAGTGAGACACGCAACTGAGTCAGCGAGGACATCCTATGCGACACCGCTGTTTTGGTTTTCGCCAGCGGATTCTCCAGAGGTCGTGGAGACTACTGTGGACGGGGGCGCGCTTGTGGATCCCAGTTTTCGCGCGCTCGGGGGGCACGAATAAGTTTGTTGAACTAGTGTCGTTTCTTGGCGCTTCGCGTATCCCCGCCAGCCCATCCATAAGCGATTCTTGGACGAGTCTTTGTGGGAAGGAAGCGCAGCATCATTAGTAGAAGAACGAGAGGGGAAGCCACTCTAAACAAAGGACGGACTGACCAGGCAGTCCTCCTAAATGGCCAGTTTTCTTTTTCAGGAGCCGTTCTGCTGGCGCTCTCGTCATCTTCCTCCCTGGGGTTGCCTGGGTGTCCATGGGGTTGCCTGGGGTGTTGACTGCCTGGGAGGTGTAGGAGGGGGAGGAGGAGGAGCAGGAGCAGGAGGAGGAAATGGAGAAGGAGTGAAAGAAGGAGGAGAAGACTGATGATCAGGAGCGGGAGGAAGATACTGATGATGATGATGGTGATGATGATGATGCTGATGATGATGACGATGCTGATGATGATGCTGATGATGATGATGACGGTGGTGGTGACGATGATGCTGATGATGATGATAATGATGATGGTGGTGGTTGTGACGATGATGATGACGATGATGCTGATGATGACGATGATGATTCTGATACTGATGATGATGATGATGATGATGATGATGATGATGATGCTGCTGATGATGATGATGATGATGATGATGATGATGCTGATGACGATGCTGCTGATGATGATGATGAGGATGATGCTGATACTGATGATGATGATGATGAGGATGATGATGATGATGATGATGATGATGATGATGAGGATGATGGTGCTGATGATGATGATGATGATGCTGATGATGATTATGATGATGCTGCTGATGATGATGATGCTGATGATGATGATGCTGATGATGATGATGATGATGATGATGATGATGATGATGCTGATGCTGCTGCTGCTGCTGCTGATGATGATGATGATGATGATGATGATGATGATGATGGTGATAATAATGATGATGATGGTGATGATGAGGAGGAGGAAGAGGAAGAGGATACACATGAGGATGATGATGATGGTGATGATGGTGATGATGAGGAGGAGGAGGAGGACAGATGAGGAGGAGGAGGTGAGGGAGGGAAGGAGAGATAGAGGGAGGGAGGGAGGGAGGGAGGAGGAGTAGGAGGAGGTGGCGGAGGAAGCAGGACAGGAGGGGAGGGGGGAGGAGGCGGGACCATGGACCAGGGACAAGGGACGATGGACGAGTTACGAGGGATGTGGGACGACGGACGAGGCGGAGGAGGAGGAGGAGGAGGACCAGTGTAAACCCAAGAGTCATCAACGATGTTGGAATTCACCCTCCCTCCAAACTCTTGTATTTTTTCAAACGAGTGTGCGCGGCGCTAAATCGAGAGCCACATTTTGAAAACCACCCGCCCACAATCCATGAAACCCTTGCAAATGTTTAAGAAGAATGCTCGCGGCGCTAAGGCGATAGCCACATTTTGACAACTACCCGCCCTCAATCCGTGAAACTCTCACGAGTTGTTAAAACGAACGCGCGCGGCGCTAAGGCGATAACCATATTTTGACCACTGCCCGCCCTCAATCCGTGAAACGCTTGCAAACTGTTGGAACGAAAGTGCGTGGCGCTTAGGCGAGAGCCACATTTTGAAAACGACCCGCCTTCGATCCGTGAAGCCCGTGTAAAGTTTTAGAACGAATGTGCGCGGCGCTATGTCGAGAGCAACATTTTGAAAACCACCCACCCTTCGTCCGTGAATCTCTTGCAATTGTTAAAACGAATTTGCGCGGCGTTCAGGCGAGAGCCACATTTTGAAAACGACCCGCCCTCTGTTTCAAAAAGAATGCGCGCGGCGCCAAGGCGAGAGCCACATATTCAAAACCACCCGCCCTCCGACTGTGAACATGTTGCAGCCTTTTCAGCTTCAGAGTCATAAATGGTGAAGAAGTCTCAGGCGAAACGCCTGGCCCGCCGCAAATCTGGCCTCGGTGTGCGACGGGGAGAGGTTATGTATAAGGAAAAGGACTGGAGGAGGAGGAGGAGGAGGAGGAGGAGGAGGAGGAGGAGGAGGAGGAGGAGGAGGAGAAGAAGGGCCATTGTCCACCAAAACTCATCAACCATACTGCAGTGAACCCTCCCTCCAAGTCCTGGAGGACGAGGAGGAGGAGAAGGAGGAGGAGGAGGAGGAGGAGGAGGAGGATGAGGAGGAGGAAGAGGAGGAATAGGAGGAGGAAGAAGAGGAGGAGGAGGAGGAGGAGGGGGAGGAGGAAAGGTTGAGAATGAGTAGGGGAAGGGGAAGGACGGCGAGGAGCAGGAGAGGCAGGAGCAGGCGGAGGAGGAGGGCGCTCCTCACCCGCCTCGATCTCCGAGAGCGCTCGCCCTAGCACGCCAGGAGCTTCCCTCTGGCCTTTCAGCTGGCCGTGCTCCATGACTGCCCCTCGGTCTGCACAGGGGGGGTTCGGACTCGTCTTGGCGCCGGGTCGGCGGCCAGAGGCGCGGGAGGGCCAGGGTCGTGCGGGCACTGGCGCTCCACGGCGCCCGACTGCGGCCGCACTGATCGAGGCCGGAGGAGCGCGCCGCATCGCCGATGCGTCGGCGATGCGGCGCGACCAGCCCAGCCACCCGGCGTCTCGGAAGGAGGCAAGACGCCGGATGCTTTGAAGGAGCCCGACCCTCTCCGCCCCGACGTCGGTGGTGCATGGCCGAGGCGTCGGCGATACGGCGCGATCCTCCCACCCCGTCTCGGCGGCGCACCCACAGGGGGAGCGCAGAGGGGCAGGGCCTGCTCGGAGGGCTCCGAAGGCCCCTGGCCGCCGAGGGCCTCTCGGAAGGCCCGGGGGGCTTCTGAGAAGCCCCGCCGCCTTCCGAGGAGGTCTGCGCCCTCTCGCTTGCCCCCTCGGCGAGCCGCCGAGCGTCTGCTTTTGGGCGGAGTTCTGGCGGCCTCCAGTCGGCTGCAGAAGGCCCCCCCGGGGAGACCGGGGGCCCGACCCTCTCCGCCCCGGCGTCGGTGGTGCATGGCCGATGCAGCGGCGGCGCGGTGCGACCAGCCCAGCCACCTGGCGTCTCGGAAGAAGGCGAGACGCCGGATGCTCTTGGCATCGCTCGGACGTGTGCATTTTTCCTTCGGCGAGGACCATCGAGGAGCATAACCCTGGGAAGCAATCAGTAAACCCCCCTCCCCCCCCCCCCCTCATCAGAGGAAATTATAACGCTTCCGGCACCGGGGCCGGGGCGGAAGCGATATCCCCCGCAGGTCACCAGAGGTCCGCGGAGGGGAGGTCCCCGGAGGTTCCCAGGAGGCATCCAGAAAGGCCTCCACAAGCCTCTGAATGCCCGGTCCCCTTGTTCCCCCGAGCCCAGCGACAAGGCACACCTGCCCAGAGTCGCTTCCTGTGATTTTGTGCGTTTCTGTGAGATTCCCCAGAGATTCCTTTGATACTCCGATTGGCTTCTTTTGAGATTCCTTGCCGTTTCCATTGTGATTCTTTTGGGACTCCTTTGAGACTCCTCTGGTGTTCCTTTGATGTTATACTGGGGGTCCCTTGAGGTTCCGGTCGTATCCCTTTGATGCCCCATTGCTTAAGGGAGCATCACATCGACATCCGGGGCCGGTGGATTATTTTATTTTCAATAAATGTGCTAACATATCGCGGGGGGGTTCGCGGAATCCGTCTGCGATATCTCTCCGTGGACTCTCCCATAGGATCCCCTAAAATAATCCATTTAACTAGTGCGGTCGCCATAGGGATTGCTTATGTCCACGCGAGCCCGCGTTTTCCAAATTCCATAGATTCCTTCGTGGTTCGTTTGAGCTGCCGCTGAGATGCCTTTGCGATTTCTGTTGGGTTCCTTTGAGATTGTTTTGAACTTCCATTGGTTCCTTTGATATCATGCGTGGGATTCTTTGTGATATTCTTCTGGGATTCCTTTGGGGGTCCTTTCAGGTTCCTCTGACATTCCTTCGACAATCCCTGAAGGGAGCATCACATCGACCTCCGGCGCTTGTGGATTATTTTATTTTCAATTAATGTGCTAACATATCGCGGGGGGGTTCGCGGAATCCGTCTGCGATATCTCTCCGTGGACTCTCCCACAGGATCCCCTGATATAATCAATTTCCCTAGTGCCGTCGCAAGAGGGATTGCTTATGTCCACGCGAGCCCGCGTTTTCCAGATTCCTCAGATTCCTTCGTGGTTCGTTTGAGCTGCCGCTGAGATCCCTTTGCAATTTCTGTTGGGTTCCTTTGAGATTACTTTGAATTTCCAATCGGGTTCGTTTTAGATTCTGCGTGGGCTTCCTTCTGAGATTCCTCTGGGATTCCTTTGGGGGGTCCTTTCAAGTATAGCTGCTTGCGGTGGTTTCATTGTTTGTCATCTTGGATTTACCTTTGATTTCCGATGCGCGTCAGTTTCCCAGTGTTCTAGCAAGGCGGGAACCCATTGGCAAGCGTTCGTGCGCATTGGTTATTCAGGCTGTCGCCTCACGTTGCCGCCGGCTTCGGGCCGGGGGAGGGGGGCAAATTAATTAATTATTTTATGTTTTAATGTGCTAGCGATATCGCCGGAGGGCGCCGCCCAAAATAATTATTTATTTTATTTTCTGTGCTAGCGATATCGCCGGGGGGTTTACTGTTTGCTTCCCAGGGTTAATTGATCATTTGGCGAAAAAAGCCACGCACGAAACCGAAAAAGACACAGGGAATGGACGTCCGAGCGATGGCCAGTGCTTGGAAGGAACCCGACCCTCTCCGCCCCGGCGTCGGTGGTGCCTGGCCGATGCAGCGGCGGTGCGGTGCGACGCGCCGACCCCATTCTCGCTCGGGCCAAGTCCTGGCGGCCTCCATCCAGTCAGAGGAGGCGGAGGAGGCGGAGGAGGAGGAGGAGGAGGAGGGGGAGGAGGAGGAGGAGGAGGAGGAGGAAGGAGGAGGAGGGGGAGGAGGAGGAGGAGGAGGAGGAGGAGGAGGGGGAGGAGGAGGAGGAGGAGGAGGAGGAGGATGAGGAGGAGGAGGAGGAGAAGGAGCTGCCTCGGCGGCCCGCCGAGCCCGGCTGGCACGCCAGCTCCTTCCGGCGCCGACGAGGCGAGCGGCAGCCAGTTGCAGACGCCCCCCCCGGAGAGAGAGGGCGCGCGCCTCCGTGCCGAGGACTCCCGGGGCTACCGCCTGGAGATCCTGGAGGCCAGTGCGACGCCCGGCGCCCAGCCGCGCCTCCGAGCCGGCGAGGCCTGGCCACGGCCACCACGGCCACGGCCACCACGCCCACGGCCACCACGGCCATGGCCACCACGACCACGGCCACCACGGCCACGGCCACCACGCCCACGGCCGCCACGGGCACGGCCGCCACGGCCAGCCACGGCCACCACGGGCAGCCACGACCAGCCAACCACGGCCACCACGGCCACCACGGCCACAGCCACCACGGCCACAGCCACCACGGCCGAGCCCTTGGCCGCCGTGGGCTTTTCGGAGGCGCGGCGTCGGAGCCTGGCGGCGTGCAGCCCGAGGGGGCGACGCGGAGGGGGGGGGGCCTTTCTGCGAGGGCCGGGGGGTTTCTCAGACGCCGGGGGGGGGCTCCTTAGAAGCCTGGGGAGCTTCTGAGGCGCATCTGGGGGCTTCCCACGCTGAGGGTCCCCTTCCCATTCTCGTGGCCCCCCTGCGTGTTTTTTGTCGAGGGGGTCCTCGAACAAAACACGCAGAGGGGCTCCGTTCCGATTGTGAGGTTTTCCCATTCTGGCTTTCTGGAAGCCTTCTTAGAAGTCTCCAGCGTCTTCTGAGGAGGTCCCCGCCTTCTGACAAGCAACACCTCCTCTTCTTAGACGGCCACCCGCCTCGCGCCACCACCTTTGACAGACGAACAACACACACCCAGACTTAAGTCGGGCCTGTCCCTCTACAGGGGGAATATTCAAATCGAATTTGTTTGACCATTTTGGAATATTTTGGGGGTACTTTTTTATTTTTCGTCGGAAATCACCCTGTAGGGGGACACGCCCGACTTAAACCCAGACCCATGGTGGGGGGTCGGAGGGAGGAGGACTGGCTATGGGTATGCGTGCGGGTTGTCGGACCCCAGGCGGGGCTCCCGTTCCAGCGGTGACCCCCATCCGACAACACGCACCCATAGGCCCCTCCGTCCCCCCTAGGGGTATGGGCGTGTGTTGTTCGTTCGTCGCCATTCGTGCGCCCCGAATTGGGATGTCCTCGACCACCCGCATGGGGCGCGAAAGCAATCGCCGCTTCGCTCCTCGCGGCCTGGGGCGTAGATCGTCTTCTCCGGGGCGGCGCTGCGGGGGCGCGAGGGTACGGTCGGGAGCTTTTGGATCGCGTGTCGTTCCGCTGGTTCTGGCCCACCACGCTGTGGCGCGACACGCCATGCTCTTCCTGGTCCCCAGGCGTTCTCGTGCACAGGAATCTCCCAGCCCCTCCCCCCGCGGAGCGGAGCGACACGCCATCCGCTCGCAAGGACAACGTGTCGCCAGGGCCGCTCTCGTGACACGCTGTCCACAAGTTCCTGACCGTAGCCGAGCGTCGCGCACTGCGGGGCGCGACGCGGGAAGTTGGGCGACCTAGAAGGTCCTGGGGGCCTGGAGTGTCAGTCTCATGCGCAGGCGAGCGGGGGGCCAGTGGGTTCGCCGGGTCGCGAGCGCCCGTGGAGGGCCCCCTAGAAGTGGCGCCCTGCAGCACACAAGAGCATGCTCGAGCATCCGGCGTGGTGCCCGATGCTGCGCGTGCGAGGAGGGTGCAGGAGATGGCAGAGGCCTGGCGGCCGGCCAGTCCCGCTGGCCCTGAGAAGCAAGTAGTTAGTATCTGCACGAACGAACTGGGCACGGAAAGAAGGGGTACAATGCCCAACAGCGGATGCTGTTCATTTTGAACAGGACTCGCTGTCCACGCCGCCGCGGCCTGTGTCCATTCGAGACAGAAGGCCGCCTGCCCAACAGCGGCCGCTGTTGGTTTGGAACAGCATTTGTTGTTGGGTATGGTGCTTATTTTTTCCGTACCCATTTCGGGCGTCCAAATGATAGTTCGGGAGCAAGAGGCTCAATGGGGACGGTGGCAAGGGACCGTGGCTGCTTTCGTGCGAGGGTGAACATGTAGTGGTTCTCGGCCCATCCCAGGGTCTCGTCCCAGAGGCCGTGGGGACATTTGGCGGGATCTTGGGGGGTTCCTGGGGGCCGTTGAGGCCCACCTGGGTGCGTCTTGAGGCCTCTTGTGGCCTCGTGAGGGTCTTCGTATCGTGTTGGAGGGGTTGGCTTCTCGAGGTGCGACATTGGCGTGTTTTTGAGCCCTCTTGGGATGCCGTCTTGGGGGCCTCTTGGGCCGCCTTGTGTTGGTCTGCAGGGATTACTGGGCCGTCTTGGACGCTCTTGCGACCGATGCGGCCGAACAAGTTAAGATCACACAACAAAACCAAACGAACTCAGCCGACTTTGCCATCTGGGGCCAGCCCCGGGGCCTCCAAGACGGCCCGCGAGACTCCCAAGAGCCTCGGCGGTACAGAGATATGGCCCCCAAATCGCCCGAGTCACTCTAGGAAGGCGAGGTGCGGGGCGGCGTTCCCCCTCCCCCCGAGACCTCCTGGGGACCCCTCCGGAACGCTCCTCAGGACCCCTCACAGGACTTCCTCAAGACCCCCCCTCCTCGGCAGGGAAGGGATCACAGGGAAGGGGCTTCCCTTCGACCAGATTGCGGCATGGGTCGATTCACTTTGGGCTGGTGGAGAGCCCCTCAGGTTGCCGCACAGGGAGCGGGTGAGAGACTTCGAAAGGAGAAGTGTCTCCCAGAACCATTACTGGACGACCACCACATGGCGCGCCCTTACACACGCCAACAGGGTCGGCAGAGTAGAGGAACCTGTGTCAATTCCCCATCGTCCCCTATGCTCTACGCTCGTTATTCGCTGGTTACTGCATGTCCAAATCCGTAGCATCATCATTAGTTTAGCGCTGGTTGCTGCGCTTTCCCTGGGTACTCGCGGGCCGTCTTCTCTTTGGTGCTTTATTAGCTTTGGTGCTCGCTGCAGGTGTTCTTATACCCCGCATCCTAAGTTGGGTGGTGGTTTTCTTTGGACACTCCGAACAGCAACAAGAGCCTGCCCACGTCAACATCGCCATCACAATCGCCGCCATCAGCATCATCGTCATCATCATCAGCAGCATCATCATCAGCATCTGCATCAGCATCATCATCATCATCATCATCATCATCATCATCATCATCATCATCATCATCGTCATCATCATCATCATCATCAATCTCATCACCATCATCATCACCACCATCATTATCGTCACCATCATCACCATCTTCATCATCACCACCGATCATTCACAATACCAGCATCACCCTCACCGCAGTCACCATCATCAGCATCATCATCATCAGCACCATTATCACCACCAACACAATCAGTTGCATCAGCATTATCATCATCATCATCCTCATCATCACCATCATCATCATCGTCATCCTCAGCCTCATCGTCATCCTCATTCCCATCCTCATTATCATCCTCATCCTCATCAGCACCAACATCACCATTCCCATCATCATTATCATCATCATCATCATCATCATCATCACCATCACCATCACCATCACCATCACCATCATCAGCATCATTATCATCATCATCGTCATCATCATCATCATCGTCATCATCATCATGTGAGGCAGTCTCATGCGGGAGCCCCCTCCCGATGTGGCCTGCAGATCACGTGCTCAATCCGAGCGGGTCGTTCGAAACCTGAAACTGTCGTTACTGTAGGGCTCTCGAGGCTTGTCGCTTGTGGAAGTCTCAAGCGGGGGCCTTGTCTGTGAGCGAGTTGCGAGGAGGTCTCAGACGGGAGCCTCTTCTCTATGGGGCCCACAGATCATGTCATTAATCCGAACGGGTCGTTCGAAACCTCTAATTGTTGTTACGCTAGGGCCCCTGAGATTTGTATCTTCAGGAGTCTCAGGCGAGAGCCTCCTCCCTGTGGGGCCCGCAGATCATGTTATGAATCCGAGCGAGCCATTTGAAACCTGTAATTGTCGTCACGTGTGCGCCCCCGAGGTTTGAATCTTCAGGGGATCTCGGGCGGGGGTCGTCGGCCGTGGGTGAATTGCGAGGGCGTCTGAGGCGTGAGCCCCTCCCTATGGGGCCCGCAGGTCATGTTTTTGACCCGGTCATTCGAAACCTGAAACTGTTTCACGCTTGAGCCCCTGAGGCTTGAATATTCAGGAGGGCTCTGTGAGTGAATTGTGAGGACGTCTCAGGCGGGAGCCCGGCGGCTTTGTCTGTAAGTGAATTGCAAGGCAGTCTCAGACGGGAGTTTCCCCAATGGAGCCCACAGATCATATTATGTACCCGAGCGGGTCATTCGAAACTTGTACCTGTCCTCACGTTTGGGCCCCCGAGGCTTGATCTTTGTGGAAGTCTCAGGCGGGGGCCTTGTCTGTGAGTGGATTGCGAGGAACTCTCAGGCGGGAGCCCCCTCCCTATGGGACCCACACCTCATGTTTTTTTGTTCGAGCGGCTCATCCAACAACTGTAAGTATCTGTACGTTTGGACTTCCGAGTCTCGAATCTTGAGGAAGTCCCCGGCGGGGGCTTTGTCTGTGAGTGAACTGCGAGGAAGTCTCAGGCGGGCGCCCCCTCTCTATTGGGCGTGCATTTCATGTTTCCAACCCCAGTGGGTCATTCGAAACCTGCGTCACTTTTGAAGGTCCTGAGGATTAAGTATGCAGGAAGTCTTGCGCGGGAGCCTCGTCTGTGAGCCACTTGTGACAGTGTCTCAGGCGGCAGACCAATCCTTATGCCACCCGTACCTCTTGTTCTTCATCGCAGGGATGGGACTCCAAAGGAGGTGAGGATCTCGTCAGACAAGCTGAAGGGGGACGCACGGGGTCCTACCGTCGGATTGGATTGTGATCTCAGGAATTCGACCGCGCGGCTCAGCGTTCGGCATGTCCTCGCCCGTCGCCGCCCTGTCGCCTCAGCGTTCCGCGCCTCCCCGTTGCTGTCTCGTCTTGACCGCGCGCTCAGCGTCTCAGCGTTGACCGCTCGCTTCGCCGTCGCCGTCTGTCGCCTCAGCTGTCTCGTCTTGACCGCGCGGCTCAGCTTTCGGCGCCTCCCCGCTGCCGCCCCGTCGCCGCTCGGTCGCTGACGCGTCGCCGTTCCGTCGCCGCCCTGTCGCCGCCTTGCGCCGCCCTGTGGCCGCCGTCGCAGCCCCGTCGCCGCGTTTGCACTGTTCTGCGTTGCGTTTGTTTTCTTTGGGTTGCTTTGCGTTTTTTGTTTTTATGAAAACAAGTTTTAAGTTGCTGTGCGTTGCTTTGCCGTGCTTCTCTTACCATTGCTTCGAACTGCCCCCCGTCGCCTTGCACGGCCTTGCAGTGCTTCACGCCGGTTGCGCGAATCTAGTGCTCGGAGCCCTCGCTGGCATCGTTTTCTCCCTGTGTTTCTCTCCCCTCCTCTCTCTCCATCTCCCTCTCGATTCTCCTTGCCCCTGTGTGGGTTGGATCCTTGCGTGGACGGGTGGTTCAGTGACTTCAGCCATGCACACGCGCACTCTGGCACTTGCTCCTCGGTACAGGCACCAGCCCAGGGGAGATCACTTGGCCGCGCCGCGATGGTGAAAAGCGTGACGGCGGACTACCCCATACTGAGTGGAACCTCTAAAGTGCGTCCCGTTCTGGTGCGCGCGGCACTGGTCAGATAGTTTGCACATGCTATGCAGGCACATGCGCATCATTATGCTTGGTACATGCATGGGCTGTGGCGGGATATGATACGGTCACCGCCAGAATAGCTTAACATGTTTGGGTTCGGAGAACAGCACATACAACCCAATTAGTCGCAACGCTTGCTGCCCCTACCTAGCTCAAATAGTTGATCGTTCCGAATGCGGCCTGCGCGCCTAGGCAGTACCACGCCCTATGGGCCAATGGCGAGCGGCACTACTTCACCCCGCTCTCGCTGCTGCGCGCGCGGGAGCTCCAGCAGGCGCCGGGGCAGAGGACATGTGTGTGGTGAGGTGCTGCTCTTGCGGTTGCTGGTGTTGAGGCTCCTCCTCCTGTCTCGCACCTCGTGTCGGGGCAGGTCGTGGTCCAGGAGGGAAAAATACACACAGACACAATGAATCGCCGATTCCACAGAAAATATAGGAAAATCTAGGAATTGGGGGGGGAGACGAAAACCTTGAGAATATGAGGAAATATGGGGGATCCTGTTATTTGTGTGTATTTATTTGTGTGTGTCCTTGGGCCCCTTGAATGGACTTCGTCTTGTTTTTTTTCGCTACAGCAATCGTCGAGCCCGCCATCGCCATATACTCACTCGGCGAGCCAGCGCCTGCGGGGAATCAGGCATCTGAACAGTTTGCTCAACAGGTACCTCTTTTCCATACCTGCCGGTAGCAGGGACAGTCACCCCACCGTCGACCCCAACTGTGAAATCAACCGTACCAGCAACGCCAGCAGAGGTATCGGGAAACGTGATCTCTACAAGGTAAGAACCCCTTACGCCGGGCATCTGTCGGGAACCTTTCATGTCGGCCACGCGGCCAACACCCTCAGCGAGTGTGTTGGACAGCGGTTGATTGTTGCCAGTGGCAGGGAGGCCGTCATTGAACACGTATTCGGCATTCGATGTGCTGGGTTGGATTCTTAGGTTTGACGAATACCACAATCGCCACGCAGTCACGCAATAGGATTCGGTCATACGGGCTATCTCGAAGTACACTGTGAAGTCGCAAACTAGGATGTTGCTGTAGACGGGTGAGCTTCGCTTCGACGGGAGAGCTGGCCCTAAATTCTAGATGTTCCCCCTGCGAGGCTCTTGAACGATACGCTCCCGTGTATGTGTTGACTGGTGCCAGGGGGACATCATAATAGTTCAGGCGGTAGTGTCGATCGTTTGAGCGGTGTCGAGTGCAGTCCGAGACATTGTTGCGTTTGGAATGCACCAGTGCATATTGCAGATAGCGGGACATGCATTGCCGTCGTATCTTTAATCGTGCCATTTGAATCTGACCTTAGGCCGTTGTCATAGCCCAGGCAAGCTTGAGCTCTGAGTTCGCAGCAAGCCCTGTACCCGCGAACGTGTCGCCGATATCGCGGTGCCGTGAAGCTTGCACAACTTCGCCTGGAGCGTGGAGGTTCCACAGTGGATCGCTTAAGTCCCTTGCACACGGTGATGGAGGCTGGGCCAGGAACGAGCCCAACTATATGTATCAACGGGCGTGCGTTCTAGGGGCAGCTTATTCGCGGGCGTAGCCACCGAATTCCTTTGTTCAGGAGGGAAAGAAACACGCAGACACAACTAATCGTCGATCCCCAGGAACATATGGGAACATATGGGAAGTGGGGGGGAAGACGAAAACCCCTAACATATGGGAAACTGTTGGGAACATTTTTATGTGTGTGTATATATATATATGTGTGTGTGTGTGTGTCCTTGGGCCCCTTCCTTATATCATGGCGCACGCATCGGTGTCTGCGCTGGCCACGTGGAGAACGGTGCACGCCAGATCAGAGTCGCCCATGTTTGGCACCGCCATCCTCCTTGTCGTCGACGTCGTCCTCCTCCTCCTCCCCCATCGTGCTTCTCTAGGGGAACAAGAAGTGACAAACCATAAAAACTCGGAGGCCCGCGCGGATTTTTCTCGGATCGGCGCTGGACCCCCCTCCCTGGCGCGCGGAGCGCGCCAGGGGCGGCGCCGGAGGCGCCGCCGGGGGGCCCCAGCGCCGATCCGAGAAATCCGCGCGGGCCTCCCAGTTTTCATGGTTCTGCCACTTGTTGTTCCCCTAAATCGTGCTTCTCGTCCCCTCCAGCTGCGAAGCGCACCCCACGGCCGTGGGAGAGTTTAGGGCCTCTTGGCCCATCCATGCGGACCAGGGCCTGGGGTGTCCAAGATCAGCCAGCTTCCGTTGTTCGCCACGGGCATCGGCACACGAGGAGCAAGCATCACGGGATGCGAACACGTCTTTCGCATCAGAGGGTTGGTTGTTGAGGCGTGGCTCCAGTTGGGGGCCATGCTCGAGAACTGGGCGGACGGCGCCAGGCACTTGTGGTTGGCAGGGCCCTTGAGGAGCGGCTTTTGTTCAGCAGGGGGGGAAGGGGGGTGGGTCGGGGGAAGGGAGAAGGAGGAGAAGGAGGAGGAGGAGGAGGAGGAGGAGAAAGTGAGCAGGCGGGATGAGTGATGACTTCAGAATTCACCGCTGCGCCGTCCAAGGGTATCGGAACAGGGAGGGTCAGCACGGAAGGATGGATGCGGGCAGGGTGAGGCGGAGGCGCGGAGCAAGGTGGTCGGAGGAGACGCAGATTTGGCAGTCAGTTGGGCGTTGCTCAAGGTTATTTCTATAGAGCCAGAAGGCAGTGTAGACATAAGGCGCCGTTGAGAATATCCATGTCGTCTGGGGCTGAGAAGGTGCGGTCCTGCGCTGACGCCGCGAGAGTGCGGGTCTGCTGCCGGTGCGACCTTAAAGGCGGGAGGTTTTGGAATTTCCTTCAGTGTTGGGGTACTGTTATGTGTTTCTTCCCCTCAGGAGAGCAGGCGGGATCCGTGTGCAGATGGTCTCTAATCACGTGCATGTGGGCCCATCTCTCAACCGTGCTCGGTTTGTGGGTGTATGGCGCAGTGGGAACATTGATGGGCAGACTGCGGCTTCCTCGGCCTCCTGGAGTTCTATTGGTGATCAGGTGGGGGCCTTTAGGGAACATGTTGGGAACACTTTGGGTGCCTCTGGGGGGCCTTTTGGGAGCCTGTTGGAGTCTTGGTCCATCGGGGGGCGGACTCCCAACACTTCTAGACGCTTCGCGTATCCCCACCAGCCCATCCAGAAACGGTGTCCATGCGAGTTGGGGTGATCAGGGAAGTGCGGGAGCAAAGAGGTGGACGGCCGAACCGTGCGAAGGAGGGATGAGGAAAATGAGGAGGATGGACGGATGAATGATGGAGTGGGGAGACGGAAGCTGAATAGGATTATGATGATGATGATGATGATGATGATGATGATGATGCTGCTGGTAATGATGCTGATGATGATGATGATGCTGATGTTGCTGCTGATGATGATGACGATGAGGATGAGGACGATGATGCTGATGCTGACGACGATGATTATGCTGATGATGCTGCTGATGATGATGCTGATGATGATACTGATGCTGATGATGCTGATGCTGATGCTGATGCTGATGATGATGGAGGTGGTGGTGATGATGATGCCGATGCTGATGCTGATGATGATGATGCTGATGGTGATGCTGCTGCTGATGATGATGATGCTGATGATGATGCTGATGATGATGTTGATGATGATGATGCTGCTGATGATGATGCAGATGAAGATGAATATGATGATGAATATGATGATGATGATGCTGATGATGATGATGCTGATGATGATGATGATGCTGATGATGATGATGATGATGATGATGATGATGATGATGATGATGATGATGATGATGATGATGATGATGATGATGATGATGCGGAGGAGGATGAGGAGGAGGAGGAGGAGGAGGAGGAGGAGGAGGAGAAGGAAGAAGAGAAGGAGTAGGATGGGGCAGGAGGAGCAGGAGGACGACGGCAAGTAAAAGGGCCAGATGTCTCTTGGGTACCTCTCGAAGCCTCTTGGGATATCTCTTGGGCGCTTCTTGGAGGCCTCTTGGGACGTCTTAGGGGTCCGTCGGCGGTCCTGGGGGGCTCTGGGGCGTCTTGGGTGCCTCGGGGGGCATCTTGGGGCCGCTTGGGGTCCTCTTCGTGGCCTCCTGGGTGCATCTTCGGGCCATCTCGGAGCCGTCTTGGGGCCATCTTGGGGCCTCTCGGGGAGGCCATCGATCAAAGAAGGGAGGGGTGGCAAAGAGCTTCGCCCCCCAAGAGGCTCCAATCTGGCCAAAACCGCAGTAAAACCAATGATTTTGGCTTCGTCGCCGAGGCCGTTTTGGATGCTCCGATGGGTCGCGGCACCGCCCGTCCAGGTCCAGGGGAGGGGGCAGGGGGAGGGGTCAAGACTCCCTCCCCGCCCGCAAGCCGTCTCGCTCACTCCCACCCGCCCTCCCAACACAGACGTAGCACCCGAGCCTGGCCCGAGCCGCAGCATATTCAGCAGTCGTCTTTGGATGGGCAGCTACTGGGGGCCAATCCGCCCCTGAGGGGGCGGGGTTTGAACACCCCTGCCGACTTTCGAGGGGGAGGTCGGGAGGGGGGAGATTCTCTCCGGACGGGGGAGGGTCTTCAGGTTACTGAGGGAGGGAGGGTGGATTTTTGACGGGGGTGGGTCCCCGTTCCGAAGGGGAGGGGCCCTGAATCGGGCGAAGGCGTGCCTTGATTTGGGCGAGTTGGGGAAGGGCGAGGGGGGGAGCAGGGGTGCCCTAAATTTTTTGATTTTTTTTTTTTGCGCAGTGCAGCGCCCTACTGAGCACGGCCTCTCGAAGATTCCAACCCCCGAATACCAAAAAGACCCGAGGACCTGCTGCCGGTGCCCGCGCCCCGGTGTCGGTCCTTCTTCCTGGGCCAAGAGCCCATACATCGAATGAGTGGCCTTCCTGGGTTCTCTTTGGGAGGCTCCTGGAGGGCCTCTTCGTGGGAGCCTGCCGGGTACCTCTTGAGGCTTCCAGGGGGCCTCCTCGGAGGTCTCTGCAGACCTTCTGCGGGACCTCCTGGCGGTCTCGTGGGCCATCTTCGGGGGAAGGGCTCCCGAGGCCTCCTCTAATCAGCCCTCTGTTGGGCTTCCTTCCCCTCCAGGGAGCTCGGGGCCGGCCTGGGGAGATCCATGTAGCTTCTTGGGACATGCTGGGCGCCATGAAGACCGAGACGGCGAACACGCAAAGATGGACGAACAGCGGAGTGCTTTTCAATGAATTTGGTCTCTCGGGTTGGCCCTGGGGCTGTAATGCTGCCCAAGAGGCTTCCGACACTGGCACCAGACGAGCTGCTGGGACCATGTGGCATGTTGGGAGTTTGAATGTCGACTCACACCCCCGATGCTTTTGCAAAAGTCTTGCGACGAACCCTGCAAGCGCTGGGGAATCCTGTATATCGACTGCACTGAGGGTTTGACAGGGCTTGATAACAATCCACTCAGTGCCTCGCCGCATGTCGGGGGACATGATTACGCTTTACCGCATTACCCCATCTGGTCATACACACTTCAGCATAGCATGCCATATCCTGGCACAAGAGGGGAAATAATTTCATTCCATCACGATTACACCCAGCCTGCCATCAGTCACCGTCATCATGTCGTGGGTTGTCCATGGAATGACCAAGTGCTGTAGCTTGCCTGAAGTATCGACTCAGCATGGCCATTTGTTTCATGTGGTTGGCAGCTGCGTACAACTTCGACGCTGCCCAAAACGACTCGCCGCCAGCCGTTCGGACCTGCAGCGCGCTCTCGCGGCATTCGACGCTGCTTGGGCGCAGTTCGAGCAGGTGCACATCAGCGAGCTCATCACAATGGAGCAGCGTGCGCTGGACGTCCTAGTGCAGGCTTGGAACGTTGTTTTGTTGTGTGTGTGTGTGTTTTTGTTTCTCTTTTTTTTGTTTTGTTTCTCTATGTTTCTCTCTCTGTTTCTCTCTCTCTCTCTCTCTTTCTCTCTCTTCTTCTCTCTATATATCCCTTCCTTTTCTTTCTCTTTCAGCTCACATGTGTGTTATGTGCTGGCCACCGTGGGCCCCACACGCTGAGCTTTTGCACTGTGGAGTTGAATATTTTACGGTGTCAGCAGGGTTTCAGGCGATGTCGTGTGAGCTGTTGGGTGTGGGGTACGCCCTGCAGGCCACTGCGGCGCGACCTCCGTTGCGTGAGCCATGTAGGGAAGCCGTGCGATGTGAGCCTGGGTGCTGTGAGCCAGGCTGTGTGCGCAAGCTGCTTGTGGTGTGGAAGTGTGCGGTGCAGGCCACTGCTGTGCAGGCCACGTGATCCGCCCAGGGCACGGGGGACACCCGCGCGAACGCCCGCGGGGCGGCGCGGGTGCGAGCGTGGCGACACCTCGGCGGGCCCACCCAGGACGCGGAGGCGCCCAGGAGGGCCCGCGAGGCCGCACCGGCGCGACATGGGGCGAGCTCTCGGCGGACCCGCCCAGGGCACGGGAGGCCCGCGAGGCGGCAGGGGGCGCGAGCGTGGCGAGACCTCGGCGGACCCAACGCAGGGCACGGGGCGCCCGCGAGGGCCCACGAGGCCGCTCGGGCGCGAGCCTAGAAGAGCTTCGACGGACCCTCCCACACACACACTTTGCTCGAAAGACAGGGGAGCAAGCACCGCTTGAGGAGTTGGCAGTCTGATTCGTCGTGTCTCTTGACTTCCTCCTGCATGGTCGTCCTCCCCCTTCTTCTGCATCTCCCTGCCGCGCTCTGCCCCTCTCCACCCTCTGACCTCCTTATGTGTTTTTTGATCCCTGGGCTCCTCCCCTGTACGTGTGTCCCTCTCACCGCATTCTCATCCTCCCCCCCCCTCTTTCTCTACCTCCCTTCCCTTTCTTGCGTCACGCTGCACGCTCCTGCTGAACAGCCGTTGCCCTTGCCTCTCCTGTGGCCCACGCTGTGCACCCCAGCCATGCTCTGCGCGCAGTGTCGGGCTTCTCCCTCGACCCGCTTTTCGCTGTAGCTGTGTGATATCAACAGGTGTTGCAAGTGTCGCCGCAGCGTCACGTGCGAGCACGTGGGAGCGTTCGTGCTGACTCACGTGCTTCGACGCTCTGCCTTCCTCCATCGCCCATTTCATCGCCCGAGCCTGGCAAGTGTACTAAGCCAGTCCCCGCCCTGGGAGCATCGGAAGAGAACGAGCGTACACATGTGCGTGCGCGCGTTCGTACGCGGCGCGTCTCGCGTGTTTTGCACGCATCTCTCGGCGGCTTGGGGCTCACCGACGCCTCGCCCCCTGAAGTCACGTTCCAGCATCGATCGCGTGTGCAGGCCGGAAGTGGAGTTGGGGGAAGCCGCTGGTAGCTCCACGGGTCCAGTTTGCTTTCGTGATTTCTTCGTCGGCTTCTGTGTCACTATCAGATTTGGAAATGTACCTGTCGGGGCTTCGCCAGACATGAATATAGTAGGCTATATGTACACACACGTCTGTATGTATGTATGCATGCATGCGTGCTTGCATACATGCATGCGTGCATGTATATATGTATGCACGCATGCATGCGTGCCTCTACGTATGTATGTATGTATGTATGCATGTATGTATGTGTGCATGTATGTATATATGTATATATCGATGTAATGTAATGTAACGTAATGTAATGTAAAATAAAGTAATTTATTGTAATGTAATATAATGTAATGTAATATAATATATTGTAATGTAATGTGTTGTAACATAATGTAGTGTAGTTTAGTGTAATATGGTGTAATGCAATGCATGTATGTACGTACATATGTATGTATGCATGTATGTATGTATGCATGCATGCATGCAGGTATGTATGTATGTATGTATGTATATATGTAGGTATGTGTGTATGTTTGATTGTATGTATGTTTGTTTGTTTGTATGTATATATCCTTGTATGTATGTGTGTACGTATGTACTTATGTATGTAATAATGCACGTATGCATGTATGTATGTATATCTGTCTGTCTGTATGTATGTATGTATGTATGTGTGTATGTATGTATGTATGTATGTATGTATGTATGTATGTATGTATGTATGTATGTATGTATGTATGCATGCATGCATGCATGCATGCATGCATGCATGCATGTATGTATGTATGTATGTATGTATGTATGTATGTATGTATGTCTCTATATATCGGAGTAGGCCGGGAGAGGGCCCAGAACTGCGACCACTGGTTCGCATGGGGAGCCGGGGGGGCCTTGAGGGCTCCAAGAGGGTTCAGAAGGGGCCCCGGACCCCCTCAGAGGCTCCTAAGCTGGCCCAAGAGGCGCCCAAAGCGCCCCAGGTTGTCTGGAAGGTGGCTGAAGAGCGCACTGAGATGGCTTCCGGACGGGCCACGAGCGCTCGAAGACAGCCCAAGATTGCTCCTAGACGGCCGCAAAGGCACTCAAGACGGTCCAAGAGGCCGCCGAGAAGGTTCGCCAATGTCAAGAATCAAGAATTTCCCACGGGAAAGCAAATATTTCCTGGATGTTTGCTTTCAGTCCTACCATCGGCCTCGTCGCTGTCGGTTGCTCGGGAACCTCTGCCGCTTCCTAGCGGTTTTCATCGGCCAGCTTCACCAGCTGTTCTTTTTCGTGCCCGTCGAACAAAAGATGTCCAGCGCTGCTTCGCCATGCTGTAGAGAGCTGGGCCCAGCGAGCGCGTCGCGCTCTGAATTGGTTTCGCGGTCGCGGCGGGAGCAGCCGCCTTGCGCCGCTACCCGCGGCCCATGCCGACAGCGCCCCATTCGTGCGGGGGCATGCCGAGTCTCCTGGCGTTCCTGATTGGCACTGGGGCCGCGCGGGCGCCGGCCCGGTCATGACCTCGAGCCAGCGACGGGCGCCCTCTGCACCGAAGGCGGCGCGGCGCCACCTACGGATATTTGCATGTGTGGTGCAGGTGTTCGACTCGCTGGGCGAGCGCGTAAATTTCGGGATGGGTGGGGTTGGCGTCTCCTGCGTGGCCCCGAAGACGTTCGCGTTCCAGTTCGTCTTCGCTTGGGTGAAAAATTGAGGAGGTCTACGCCTCCGCGCGCCTCTGGCCTCCCTTGCACCGTGCGGGCATGCTTCGGTTCGACGAGCTGGGCGGCGAGACGTCGGCATTCTCTTTGTGGCGAAACAGACGTTCGTGGACTTGTTCTGGATGCACGACGCGCAAATCAAGTGCTCGTGGTTCCCAGCCCCACCGTTCTGCCAACCTTTGGCGCGTAGATCGCTCGACGGATGCAGCCGAACAGTGGTGCGATACTGGCGCAGGTTGACATGGAGGCTACCGTCTATCACGTTGCGCGCCCGAAGGGTCTGGAGGACAAGATTGCCTCCCCCCCCAGCTGCCCCGTCAGCGCGCTGATGAAGGCGGCCTCTGATTTCGATTTCAGCCAGATGCGTAGTTGTCGGATTTCACTGAAGCTTCTGGTCTTGCCCATGGTTTGGACCTGGTTGCTGTTCTTCTGCCGGAGCCTGGTGGAGGGCGAGATCTTGCGATCTGGTCTCAGCAGTGGCCAGTTGGTTCGCGACAGGCGTGTGATGGGCGATATCACTACCTGGCAGGTGGCCGCAGCTTGTGTGGATGGCATCGGATGACAGCCTCGGGTGTTTCTGACGAAGCTGTGCACTCGGTGTTGCCATCGTGCTGGGGGCCTTGGAGGGGGGCGGGCTGTCGCGCGAGGGCATCGCCCAGGGCGGCGCCGCTCAGAAATTCTTGGTTTGCCTGTTCACCGAAAGCGTGGCAGGATATCTTGGCCCGCGCAAGCTCCGGCGACTGCGACTCGGACTTCTGGGGCTCGCTCGCGCGGGCTACTTTTCGGGCGGGGGCGGGTTCAGAATCTAGGCCCATTATAATAGAAGTGGGCCGCGTTACTCAGGCGCGGTGCGCTCTCCAGCTGCATCAGCTGCCGCCAGTTTGCGAGGGGGGTGCGGGGGCGAGGTGTGGCGCGTCTGGGCCGAGGCGCGCTCTGAGCTGTGCGCAGGAGCTGCTTTGGTGGCCTTCGCCTTTGCCGCCGCCCGCCGCCCGGTCGACGGCCAGGTCTGCGCCTCCGACGCTGCGCTGGGCATCGGCGACGACGGCGGTCTGATTGGCGGGCTCGGGGTCGCTCGCAAGACGCGGGGCGCCGGGCGCGCGCGGGGCGCTGCTCGCCGCTGCGAGAAGTTGCGATGCGGAGTGGAGTCTGCTATCGCCGCTCGGTCCCATGTCTAAGACGCCGATGCGACGGCGCCGATCCTCTGGCGCCGCGCAGCAGGCGCGAGCGAGTCAGGGGCAGGCGCCGATCTCTCCAGCGCCCCGCCTCACGAGCCTGATTTTGACGAGCTCGACCTCGCAGAAGCCTTGCTGCAGGCGGACTGGCGGGCGCTCCTTGTCGGCCGATGACGGAGCTGTGAAAACATCGTGCGTCTCGATTGTCGCGCGTTCATCTTCGACGTGCGTCGCCTTGTTCGCAGTTCTCGCGCCTGAGTCGCGCTTGCGCGGGCTCTTGCAGATGGCGTGTCTCTGGCGTTGGCTTTTGTGGGAGGGAGATCATCGGCGCCTAGACCTAGACATAGTCAAACAATCCGCGGTCTCATCCGAATCGGCACCATGTTCAACGTCGATGTTATCGTTCGACGTTTGCCATCTTAGCGGCAGACGAGCCCCCGCGCGATGCGGGGGCGCCCGCTGCAGGCCGCGCCCCTGGCCCGCGCCGCGCTGGCGTCGACAGGCGGGGGGGCGCCGCAGGCCGGCCCTGTCGCGGCCGACGCCGCGAGGAGCGCCGGGTCCGCGCTGGCCGCGGATAGGCCGAGCTCCTCGGCCTCAGGTTCGACCGGCCCGACCGACCTGGCAGAGCCGCGGGCTGCAGCGCCGCGCTCGTCGGCGGGCGCCATCGGGCGGGGCCCGCCGGGGCTCGGC